CAGCAAGACAGAATAATAAATACTGAGTTAGAGAGCTAAGTGTCAACTGACTTAGAGAGCAGTGTCACTTAAAACCAAAAGTTCTTTTTTAATAGCACCCATTTTAATGTTTCACTTAAAAAGTAGTAACTCAAATATACACAAAGAAAATTTATTAATTTTTAAAAGCATAAATCAGTATGAAAGGGGACAAGTTATAAATTATGCATTTCAGAACATCTGTTACCCTAAAGGTCTAGACTAATGTTTAAAAATAAATTTTTCACGGGGCTTCCCCTTTCAGGAAGATGGAGTAGATGTTCTTTTTTGTATTCATCCAAGTAAATACAATTAAAACCTTTGCATATGTAAAATTTATATAAAGAGACTAATAGGTTAAGAAAAGGGAGACAGGCTAAGGACCTCAGGATCTGAGTGACAATACAGTGATGAGATCCCTGCATTTTCTCATTGCCTCATATATTCAGGATTTGCAGCTAAAGAAGTCAGCAACCCCAAAACACCAATGAATGCAAAAATAAAACAACAACAACAAAAGTCTGCTCTTTCTAGTCAAAGGTCCTGGAAAGAGGCAGAAAATGTTTAGAAAATAGTTGCTCTACTCTCGTCAAACACCATTGCCACTCCCCTCCACCACCACCATCAGCAGCAAAAGCCAAGCAAAAATCCACTTTTTTCAGGCTGTAACAGGGCATCTCCACATCCCTCATCATAGTAGTAGAGTAGGAAGTGGGACATTCATTTCCCCACTGAGCACCAATGAGCCAGCTCCCTTCAAACACCCATGGGTGTCAATGGAGACCACCTGGGGAGCAATGGAGATGCATGGGGAACATACTTCTACCCACCGGGCAGTAATGAGGTATGCTTCTGCCTTCTCACTGGAGTGGTGTCAGAGGAGCCCTACTGGAAAGTTAGGACTTTCATCACTCTCCAGGAGAAAATGAGGCCACTCATCCTCTCCCCATCATGTCAGTAGTAGCTAGGAAGGGAGCAGCAAGGATGTCCTCCTTCCCCACTAGGAAGGTATCAGTGCAGACTAGAGGGGATCTGGAACTCCCATTCCTGCCCAGTAGTAGCAAGAAGTATATGGCTTTGGTTACCAGTGTATCCAAACTGAGGAACCTGAATGGACTGCTACACAAACCTGGCAGTAACAAAGCAGCACTCAACCTTCCCTTGGTGTCAGAGAAAGCCATCTCAAACAGAGATTTAAGTAAGATCTAGAGTCTTATAACATAGTGCCTAAATGTTTAGGTTTCAATTGATACTTACTCATTACACCAATTACCAAGAAAATCTGAAACTAAATGAAAAAAGATAGTTAACAGATGCCAGTGAGACGACAGAGATCTTAGAATTATCTGACAAAAATTTTAAAGCAGCCATAATAAAAATATTTCAATGAGCAATTACAAATACACTTGAAACAAAATAGGATGTCTCAGCAAAGAAATTTTTTAAAGTTTCAGCAAAGAGGTGAAAGATATAATTAAGGACCAAATGGAAATTTTAGAACTGAAAAATATAATAACTGAAATTTTTTAAAAAGTGATGGGTTCAACCGCAGAATGGAAACAGAAAAATCAGTGAACTAGATGACAGGATGATAGGAATTAAACAGTCTGAACAATAAGGAGAAAATAGATTGAAATAAGTTAACAGATTCTAGGGGATCTTTGGAACTATAACAAAACATCTAATTTTCATGTTTTATTCTTGAAGGGGTGAAAAAAGAGGATGGGGCTGTAAAAATACTTGAAGAAATAAGAGTTGACCAAAAACTTTCTAAATTTTGCAAAACAATACAAACCTACAGATTTAGGAAGGTGAGAATATTCCAAATAGAATAAACTCAATGAAATCTGTACTATTACACATAATGGTCAAATGTCAAAAACTAAAGAAGAAGTCTGGAAAGCAGCAAAAGAGATGTACCTTACCTATAAGAAAAAACAATTCAAATGACAGTGTAACTATTACTTTTAAAGTATAGAGACCACAAGGAAATAGCATGCCATTTTTCAAGAACTGAAAGAAAAGAATTGTCAACCCAAAATCTTATATTGGGTGAAAATATCCTTCAAGAATAAAGTGGGTATCAAGATATTCTCAGATGAAGGAAAACTAATATAATTTGTCACCAATAACTCTACTAAAAAAGAACAGTTAAAGAAAATGGTCTAAACAGAAAGAAATTTATAAAACAGGAAACCTGGAACATCAAAAAGAAAGAACATGGTAAGCAAAAATATAGGTAAATACAACAGACTTTTCTGGAGTTTTCTAAATCATGTTTGATGGCTGAGGCAAAAAAATATAGCACTACTTGATGTGGTTCTAAATGTATGCAGAAGAGGTATCTAAGACAACTGTGTTGCAAATAGGGGTGGATAGTAAAATTTAAAGGGAGGTAAGGTTTCTATACTTCACTTGAAGTAATAATGTGATAATACCAGTAGACTGTGAAGAGTAATGAAGACATAATGTGATATATGGAGCAATCACTAAACAAGTTATTCAAAGAGATACATCAAAATCACTACAGAATGTAATAAAAAAGAACAAACTATTGATACATGCAATGCCCTGGATGAAACTTCAAAGAATTCAGCTGAGTGAAAAAAGCCAGTCCCTAAATGTTACATCGTGTATTGTTCAATTTACTTGAGTGTGTGTGTGTGTGTGTGTGTGTATGTGTGTGTGTAAAACAAAATTATATAAATAGTCAACAGATTAGTGGTTACCAGAAGTTAAGGTGGTGTTGGAGGCAGACGGGAACTGGATATGGCCATTATAAATGGACAACATGAGAGATTCTTATGATGATGGAAATGTTCTGTATGTTCACTGAATAAATGTCAGTATCCTGGCTGTGATACTGAACTCTAGTTTTCCAAGATGTTACTATTGGAGAAAACTGAGTAAGGAGTACACAAGATCTCTCTGTATTATTCTCTATAGCCACATGTGGATCTATATTTATTTAATTTTTTAAATCCACAAGGGTGAATAAACAAAAATAAATAAATTCTTCCTGAAGAGTTATTACTTTTCTTTCTGAGCCAGATCAATTTCACCACATGAAAAGTCCTGAGGTCCATGTAATGACATATCAGCATACTTAGCTAGAGCAAGAACAGATAGTAACAAACAAACATAAAACATTGAACTAAATTCTAAACACCTCCTCAATCCTCCTTGAAATTTAAGAATACTAACTTTTTAAACACAGATATTAGAAGTTCCACCATGGAAAGTAGCTCAGGGCACTGCTTTGATGGTCCTGAGCAAGACTCTCCTTGCTTATTTGCTATCAGTGTCTGTGTCTGACAATTCATCTCAGGCAAGTTATACTCACCATTCCAACTCTTAATTCCAAGCCAGTTGTACTACTATTGAAGGAGGACCCCAAAAGCATCAAGTGAATCCAATTCCCGACCCTCAAACTCAGCCACTGGGCATGGAAATATTTTAGCCAGTTACTCATCCTCTAAAACTTTCAATAGCTTCCCACTTCCTATAGGAAAATACACAAACTTCTTAGTCCAGCACAAGAGGCTACTATCTAAACCCTATCCACTTCCATAACTGGTCTTTTATTTGTCCCCTAAAAGACACTCACCTGAACTAGAATGTTTCTGTTCATCAAACCCAAACTTCTGTTCGTCTTCCCACCTTCCTGTCTTTTTCTCATACTCCTACTCCAGACTAGAGAACTTCCCACTCCTCTCTGGCTTCACTAGGTTCTGCTTTTCTTTGAAAACTTGCCTCCATTCTGAAGCCTACCTTAAAGATGTCTCTCGCCATTAAATATTTTTTCTTTCTGCTACCCCTCATTTCTCCACATAGCATTAGTTATTTTTATTATTTTTGTTTTTTCTGCTCAAGTCCTACCTCCCTATTCAGATTGCAAGCCACTCAAAGAGTCTTTTATCTCTGTAAATCTCTGAAAACAGAAAAAAAAAAAAGTTTATGTTGACGGCCAAGATTTTAATATTAGATATGGCATAGGAGTAACTTGCTTCCCATCTGGAACTCAAATTCCTCAAATACAAATAAGGAAGATGAATTAGACCAGTGGTTTTTAACCAAGGATATGCACTGAACTTATCTGGGGCTATCTTTGAAAATATGTGACCCTGAAAAAGTGATTTTAACCATCTAAGCTTCCTGCTCTGCATTTATAAGAAGGAGACAATGGTAGCACCTACTTCATAGGACTGTTATGAGGATTAAGTTAGTTAATACATATAAAGCAATTTTGCATAGTTCCTTGAACATATTAAGCTCCCAATACATTTTAGCTGCTGCTGAATATAAATTGTTAAAACTTGATTCACTTGGAGATACTTATCATTCTAGAACAGTGTTTCCAACTTACAGTTTGGGGGAAGTGAAACAGGGCAGGGACCCCTCACAGGGGCCTGAGTACCACCCCAACAACGAGCATGAAAATAAAGGAAAATCTTGAGTTCCTTCAAGGGAAATTCCAGGCACCTAGGCATCCTTAAAAAGTAAATAAACAACTTGATAAGTGGGAAGGTAATAGTAGCTTAAAACAATAGCCAAGGAGTTAGAATCACCAGAATGTTTGGTTCCCTGCAGAAACTAAAGATAACATCTTAACATGTATACCTGAGTTGTTTTTCAGCAACCTGGACCCCCACCAAATGGATCTGCTGGCACTGAGACCTCAGACAAGGGGGAGCTAAGGACTGCACTCTGACCTTTCTCCTAAATTTCTTCCTGAGGGGCCTGGAGAAAGTCACACCCACAAGCCAGAGCTAACATTCTTTACTGCTAACCTCACGATTTTAAACAAAGCTTCTCTTCCTTAACCAATTGCAAATCAGAAAATATTTGAACCTACCTATGACCTGTGGGCCCCTCCCCTTCAAGATGTCCCACCATTTTAGGTCAAACCAATGTATAGCCTCTATATATTGATTTATGACTTCACCTGTAACCTCTGCCTTCCTGCCTTTAAAAACCCTTACCTGTAAGTGTAAGGTTCTTGTATCATTTCGACCCTGAGAGCAGCCAACAGACAACACGAGGCCGTGTGGAGCAACATGCTGTTCTAATGAGGGCCTGGGTGCAGGCCGGCCCCAAGTGAGGACGGGGCAAAGGTCTTACAGTCTCCTGTAAACAGGCAGTGTCATAGTCCAATGTAACTGCTACGTGGTACCCGGATGGCCTTTTTCTCGATCTTCGTGTCTTCCGGCCAGGGTAGGTGTCTTCCGCCTGCTCTCTTCCTGCTTCTGCTATCTTGCTGGCGCAGCTGCTGGCGCAAGTTGCGCCTTGGGACTGGGCCTGAGAAGGGAGGAGTTACTCATCTTAAGCTTTCAGGCCCTGGGAGAATCTTACAGTAAGCCCTCTGGAAGTCTGAGTCTTAAGCATGAACTGCCTGATTCTCATTGCTTGGCACTCTGCAAATAAACACTTGCCTTTCTCCTGCGGCAAACCTCAGTGTGGATATCTGGTCTTCCTGCGCCGGGTGAACAGACCACAGTTAGGTTTGATACCAGAAGCTTCAGAGAAACTGCAACTAAATTCTCAGGTGCATCTAGTATTATCTGTTAACTAAATGAATAATATAGTTTGCTCACAAAGTATTCCTATTTTAAAAAATATATATGTGTGTTTTGTGACTAATAAAATACAAAGTCAGGTAAACAGTGTTACTGAATTCATAGTTGCTTTTTGTCACTATATATTTTCATTGTCAACACATACTATAAATATAACTATTATCGTGCAACATTCCTTCAGTTTATTTTCAACATCTTATAATTTTCAAATAGACTAGGAAACACTACCCCCAAAATATCAAATTACTATCAGCATAATTTCCTAATAAACCTGTTCACTATGCTCATCTCAGAGTTCTGGATAAAGTGATTTCTAGTTGCAACACAGTACATAAAAAGTTAAAATAAAAACTAATTATTATTTAATTTTTAGTGAAAGGAATAGACTCGATGAATGTAAAGGAAAAAATATGACTACTAGACAAAGTGTTACCCAATAAAATTCCAATAGTCTTTCAAGCAGCTTTCTAAAATCCTAGCAACTCCTTGGAATTGACAATTCAGTAACCCAATATTTGAAGAAAGAAAAAACAAGGAAATGAACAACATGCTAGCATATCACTCCTTCCATAATTGTTGCTCACGCACACCAGAGCATGGATGAAGCTGAATGCACAACTCTTTTATGTTTAAATTGATAAAGGTAAGACTAAAGAGGGAAAGGGTCAATTAAGCATGTTCTTCAGCATCTTGCAAACTGAAAAAAAATTATAAATAAGAAGTAAATTTTGAAAAATGAAAACTAACTTCTTTGGCAGAGAAATAATTAAACATTCAGCTGTTCCTAAATTCCAAATTTTTACTCTTAATTTTTACACTCCTTAATTCTCACATAATTTTTCAGTACAATATTGTAAGACAGGCAAAATATTACTTAAACGTGTTTATAAGAAATAGAAAACTTTAACCGCAGAGGGTTTGATCACGATTCTCCAGTTGCCCAAATCATCCTTTCTTTGAAGCGCATTGGTGGTAAGGGAGATAAAAATAGTTTAAAATTCCACCCTGCTTATGGGATTTTTTTTTTTTTAAATATTAAGCAATCCTGCCAATTCCCATTTAGCTGTAACCCCCAAGGCAGTCTATGTAAGTTAAAAACACACACACAAAAAAAAACAGGCAGCAACAGTCAAGTGGAAAAACAAGGAATAAGAGTATTGAGACTACTATATACTACTTTTTGAGCAAATCACTTAAATTCTCTGGGTCTCATGTACCTAGTTGTAAAATGCAGAAGTTGGCTTCCTCATGAATTGCTAAAAATCTATGATTCTACAGTCAACAAAGCATAGGAGGTCTCTTCCCTTGTATCTAGAGATGTGGTAAGGACAGAATCTCCCTAACCGAACACTGCCCGGCTAACAAAATATCACTCCCTCAGGCTAAGCCTGTCAGCATGTCTTCTGGGGAACAAAGAGAGAACTCTGATGAAATTAGGGCAACTAAAACCCAAGGGACAATTACAATACAGTGATTATCCTCTATAATTACCGGCTTTTAGTTTTCTCAAAGACTTCAGGTTTATCTATGCTAAATCTCCTTTGGAGAGATCCATGATGTCTCAAAGCAACATAGCTAAATTCCTTTTCATCTAAAAGTCATACCTTTTTACAGATGCTATCATGAAAGGAAAGAAACAGCACATTCTATACCAGCTGCAATTACAGTTGAATCGTTAAAAAAGAAATGTTAGAGGTGGTGGTGCCATCTAGCTGCTGTAATGGTGAGACTTAACCTATTTTTATAAACTCCTGTAGGAAAGTAAATATTCTGATCGTTTTCTATAGGCAATGAAAGGCATAATCTTTCTTTCTGTGTCATATCTCCATGTAGAAAAGTAAACAGAGGCGCAGAGAAGTCAGTCAGCCAGTCAGCTGGTCAGTAGTAGAACCAGGATCAGAGCCTGGTTCTTTTGATTCCTCTTTCCATTTCCTCACCACTAATGAAAGACAGGTCCCTAATCTTCAAAGCAAGTTCTGCTTTCACATCATCTCTCCACAAAGCAAATAAATCACTACATTACAAAAGTGTTCTCCCCTGCTTCCACATGAGAGAAAATGATTTACTAGTCACCCTCTGAGAATCTATTTCTATGAAGATCCCCTAAAAAGGAGTCAAAGGTGTCTGAAAACTTACAAAATTAGTAACTAGACAGATTTTGTTTTCCACTTGGAAATCCCTATAACCAAGTTCCAAAACCACTACAAAGCTTGGCCCTGTCATACCGGTATTGAAGATTTCCTCCCTGCTAACACTTCCGAGGACTGACTACAATAAACTAGAAACATACCTTTCTCTTTTTCTTCTAGTCACACTTGTATTGCTGCCCCCCAACAAAGCCATTGTCAGAAATGGAAGAAAACGGATTCAATGTCACTAGTCCCTGAGGCCCTCTCCCCGACCTTGCACCCACAAAGAAACCATTCTCCTTGAACAGAGCAGCACTTCTAAGAAAGTTCCCCAACAAATACATAGCTGCCTTCATGCACACATATCACCACCACTTTGCTTGAAACCCAGGATATTTTTTTAATTACAAGAGTAGTATTTTTTGTAACTTTTTTGTAGCAATTTTACCAATATAGAAGAGTTTAAAAAAAAAAACAGTTTCTAGCTTCCCTACTCAATCCTATTTCCTTGACAAAATCACTGTTAATAATTTGGTGTGTAGATTCTTCATACTTTTTATGCTTTATGTTTATGTAAATATATGTAAAGTACACATATTTATACTGTTTTCTTTCTTTCTTTTTTTTTTTTTTTTTTGAGATGGAATCTTGGATCTGTTGCCCAGACTGGAGTGCAGTGGCACGGTCTTGGCTCACTGCAACCTCTGCCTCCTGGGTTCAAGTCATTCTCCTGCCTCCGCCTCCAGAGTAGCTGGAACTATATATAGGTCACGCCACCATCCCCGGCTAATTTTTATACTTTTGTAGAGGTGAGGTTTCACCATGTTGGCCAGGCTGGTCTCAAACTCCTGATATCAAGTGATCCACCCACCTTGGCCTCCCAAAGTTCTGGGATTACAGGCATGAGCCACTGTGCCCAGCCTATAGAGGTTTTTGTTTGTTTGTTTTGTTTTGTTTTATTCGCGTGAAATTAGACTAAGCATTTTACTCTGAAATTTGCTTTTTTTCCATTTATCAATACATTCTGGATATCCTTCCATGTTGATATATATAGCCATAACTCATATGTTTTAACAGCCAAATATGGCCAGGCACAGTGGCTTGCCCTTTTAATCCCCAACACTTTGGGAGGCCAACGCAGGAAGATTGCTTGAACCTAGGAGTTTGCAACCAGCCTGGGCAACATAGGGAGAACCCGTCTCTATAAAAAACAAAAGAAAATTTAATTAGCTGGGCATGGTGGCATATGCGCCTGTGGTCCCAGCTGCTGGGGAGGTTGAGGTGGGCTTGAGCCCAGGAGATTGAAGCTACAGTGAGCCTTGTTCATGCCACTGCACTCCAGTCTGGGCAACAGAGATCCTGTCTCAAAAACAAACAAACAAACAAACAAATAGCCAAATATAGTCCACAACGGATCTATGCAATACTTTTAAACCATAATGTACAGAATGGACATTCAAGTTGTTCCTAGTTTATTTTTTCTTTCTTGTTTTTAATCATGAAGAACATTGTAATAAACATTCCCAAATACATCCAGTCTTGTTTTCTGGGGTTCTTGCTTCAATAAGATAGATTCATAAAAAGTGGAATTCCAGTTACTAATTGTTAGATAACAAACCACACCAAAAAAACTTACGAATTTAAAATTGGGGCAATGCTTAGCACAACAACTCATGCAGCTTCGGCTGGGGTAGCCTAAATGTAGATAGAGGATTCATTTCCAAGAGAGCTCACTCACACCACAAGTTGTTGCTGGCTATTGGCAGGAGCTATTAACAAAGTACTTCAATTCCTTTCCACCTAGACCTCTCCATGAACTGCTTAGGCTTCCTGACAGCATGGCAACTGGTTCTAGCAGCAAATGTTCAAGAGTGAGAAAATGGAAAGTGCTAATCTCCTAAGGCCTGGTGCTGGAAACTGGCAGTGTCCTTTCAACCATATTTTATTGGTCAGTCAGTCATAGAGCCCACCTAGATTCAAGAGGATTGGACATAAACCTATAAATAGGAGGAGTAGCAAAATCATATGCAGCCAACTTTAATCTATAAGTAAGATTGCTGAGTAAAATTATCCTGCACATTTTTAGTATGACTAAATATTGCCAGATCCTTTTCCAAAAGGGTTAATTTATACATTTAGCAAATATTTGAGGAATGTTAATTGTTTGGCACTGCTCCAGATACAGAATAGAGCAATGATCAAAACAAATAAAACTTTTGCTCTGATATAGGTTAAATTTAGAGGTTGTAGATGGACAATCAGTCAATCATATGTCAGGTGGTAATAAATGCCATGAGAAAAACAGAGCAGGGAGGGGACGGGGGAGTATCTGGGAGGAGAGGGTGAAATTTTAAATAGCATAGATAGGGAAGGTTTCACTTTCAATATAACAAAAAAAAGTAAGTGCAAGCCCTGAAGGGGTGCATGCTTGAGATGTCGAAAGCCAGGTGACAGGAAGAGAGTAAGCATGGGAGAGAAAGATTGAGAGGTAAAAACGTGTGGGCCAGATTGTGTTGGGGTAATTCATCCTCCCATAACCCTGTCTACTAGTTATATATCCTACAAGCATATATTTATTGGACATCTGTATATTGTCTTCTGTGAATTACCCTCAGGGTAAAATAAAATAATAAGACATGTACCCTCAAGGTGAACCCTTTACTGGAAACTAATGAAATGGTTTGTACCAGGATGCTGAAAGAAAAAGATTCAATGCAGCCTGCAAAGAAGAGAGCCTGAAGGATGCTGCCCAAAGGCTTAGGTTTCACATGTTAATTGTAGTGCTGTAAAGGGTGGGAGGACAGCCCTGGTCACGGTATGTAAGGGCATGAGACATCCTGGGGTGAGACATATCGGAAGGTAGAAGGGGCCAAAAAAACAGAACAGGGACAACCAGACCAGAAAAGAAACTTCATCTTCTTTAGCACTTTTTTTTTATTAGGGACAGCCTAATAAAAATTTCAACTATCAAAATTAAAGATGACTATTTTAATTAGTTTTCTAATTCTGCAATAGTTTTATAATTGTTTTCCAAAGGAAGGCTTTAGAATTGCCACATTCCTTCTTTACTCATAGTA